TGGCATAGTGGGGTGCACCCCCACCCCCCCTGGGCAAAAATTCAAAATTCTGCTCCGATATAAATTTTCTATTTTTTATCCCCAACATACCACCCAAAGCGTTTTTTAAAATTTTAAAATTTAGGGGGTGCGCCTAGTTCGTGAGACACCCTGTATAATCGAAATATTACCTTTGTATAAAATACATCTATGTTGCGATGGCAAACGGTTTTCAATACTCTTTCCTCTTGATTTTGTTCCTCTTCGAGAGGATTCACAATTTCAACATCCATCTCACTTTCATCGACGATATACACTTCTTCGACAGCAATCGCCATTTCGGCTGTGTAGTCATAATTTTGATACATAATTTTTTTTCAAAATTTATTGTTTCAATTAAGTGTAGAGGAAGTGTAGGTAAGTGTACAACATTTTGTTTCGAAGTGTACCTGGAATTTTTTTTCAAAAAATCGACTTCTTTTTTTTGGGGTCCTCATAATTTTGCCCGGGGTAGCTATTTTCTAAATCTAAAATTTTATGTAATGTTATGGTCTTAAAAAAGTGTACATTAAGTGTAGGTAACAATTTTGCCTTCACATACGATATTACTATGAAATTAAGTGATTTGGCCATACCATCCTTATATGAGGGGCGGGGAGTACCTAAACTGAAAATTTCAAATTAAGTGTAGGATGATTTTGTAGCAAAATTATCACTACACAGCCGCCATTTCAACTTCCATCTGGTTGTCATCGATAACATGCATTTCGGCAAATTGTTCAGCAACATTCTCCACTTCAGCATTTGGTTCAATGATTGGACGCCAGTTTTTTCGGTATACATCAACCTTACCAGTAAACCTTCTAATATGTTACACCCCGATTTTCGATTTTTGTGTATGAAGGTTAATATGTTTCCCCAATTCGATGTTTCTTACTAGTGAAAAGTATTATATGAATCGTTGCGGCGAAACAGTAGCTCTTATTTTTCTCCAAATAATACTGCAACATGAAGTTTTTTTCACACGGTTTATTTGTTGTAATACAACAAATAAACTATTCATAAAAAACTTTATGTTGCAGTATTATTTGGAGAAAAATAAGAGCTACTCTTTCGCCGCAACGATTCATATGAAAGTCTCGTTCACCTTAGAATTCTGTTTATTACAAGATAATATACATATATTCTAAGAAGACCAAATCATATCTCAAATGCGTAGGCATTTCTACATTGTTATGCCATCTTTTACCGAAACGTTTGAAACTTCACGCTTTTGTATAGTTTTTGAACTTACTCATACAATACTCACATAAAACATTGTATAGTCGTTGACAAAACAATGTTCCTACTATGAAAATCACAGATGTATATTACACTGTAATACACGCTGCGTTCTATAATCGCTATAATCTATATGCTATGGCTGTATTTGTGTTCTGATTATTGGAAATGGAATGTTATGCACAAAAACACGTTTTATTTCTCATTTGTATTAGTTCATCTAATTGCGTATATACAAATTATGAATTCCATGAGTTTCAAGTTATCCATTTGCTGCCTCAAAATTTTAAGCATTGCATTGGTTCAGTGGCTACGCTTACGGTGCATGACACTGAAAGTCTCAGGTTCGATTCCGTGTGAAAACAATTTTTTTTCTTTCATCTTTTTTTCTTATTTTTTTTATTTCATAGTTTTTTTGCATTGCTCCATTTTTTATGAGTGGAAGAAACAAGAAAAAAAAATATTTATCTTTCATTTGCTTTCTTCCATAAATAATAAATAGAGCAAATTCGAAAAAATATAACAAAAATTAAAATAAAAAGAGAAAAAATATTTTGTTTTCACACAGAATCGAGCCTGGGTCTTTCACTGTTATGCGCTGTAAGCGTAACCAAGGAAACATTTGAAATTATATGGTGCCAAAAAGCGACACAAAAATCAAAGCGATGGTGAAATACATTAGTAAAATCTTTATTGCGCAGCAAAATGCAGGGTGTCCCATATGATCGAGTTTTCCAGGTGATTGGGAATTTTGAAAAACCCTTTGGAGAGTATGTTGGGGATAAAAGATAGAAAATTTCTATCTGAGCAGAATTTTGAATTTTTCCCCAGGGGGGGTGGGGGTGCCCCCAATTTTTCAAAAGTTCATCGGATCAAAAAATAATGTACTACAAAGTTGTTCAGAATGATGAGAAATTTTTTTTAGGACCTCTTCCCTCCAAGTCCCTTCACTCCTTAAGGGGGTCGGGGGGTCAAAAACCCTCAAAAAAATTTCTCTCGTCATTCTGAACAACTTAGTAGAAAATAACAAGCAATTGGAATAATTGCTGAAAAAATTTCGAAATGCCGTTTTGAAGAAACACCCATTTTGGGGGGCGAAATCGACCCTCCCTTCGCCCCGAACAAAATATCAATTCTTAAGTATTTTTCATGCTGATTCCGAAATTCAGGATTTTCCTAAAAAAAATTTCTCATCATTCTGAACAACTTTGTAGTACATTATTTTTTGATCCGATGAACTTTTGAAAAATTGGGGGCACCCCCACCCCCCTGGGGAAAAATTCAAAATTCTGCTCAGATAGAAATTTTCTATCTTTTATCCCCAACATACTCCCCAAAGGGTTTTACAAAATTCCCACCCCCTTGGAAAATCCGATTATATGAGACACCCTGCATTTTGCTGCGCAATAAAGATTTTTCTAATGTATTTCACCATCGCTTTGATTTTTGTGTCGCTTTTTGATGACGGAAAATCGCGAAAAATGAAAAAAATAATTAAAATTTTTTTCTTCAATTCTCAAATGATACTCAATTTTCTGTATCACCTGGTGAAATCAGAATGAAAAAAAAACGCATTCCTTATCATCTAAATCACGATCTGGACTTTTTTCACTGTTTGAGTGCTCTATACCGAGTCTCCGAAAGTTTCATATAAACTTGCCATGTGATACCTATTGAATAGTAAGCGAATACCAATCGTGATTGAATCAATTAGCGTCATTTGGCTATTGCAAGGCGAGTTTATATGAAACTCTCGGAGAGTCGGTATAGAGCACAAGAAGTGAAAGAAAAAAACATTTTTTTTCTCAATTCTCGAACACCACTAAATGTTCTATATCATTTGTTGTGAAAAATTTGCACTATACCGAGTCTCCAAGAGTTTCATATAAACTCGCCTTGAAATAGCCAAATGACGCCTATTGATTCAATTACGATTGGTATTCGCTTACTATTCAATAGGTATCACATAACAAGTTTATATGAAACTCTCGGAGACTCGGTATAGAGGGGTTAAACGAAAATCGTCATAAAAAAACCCAAATTAGTCCTAAAAAATACAAAAATAGTCCTGAATAATCCGAAATTAGTCCTTAAAAAAAACAAAAGTTGTCCTAAAAATTACATCAAAAGTTACATAAATCATCCTAAAAAGCTTGAAATTTGTTTGAAACGACGGTATAGAGCACTCCCAAAGTGAAAAAAGTCCAGATCGTGATTTAGATGATATGGTGTGCGATTTTTTTCATTCTGATTTCACCACGTGATATAGAAAATTGAGTAGTATTTGACGGCCTTAGAAGAAAACAATAACATACATTACATGCTGCAAATAATACTAATACAAATTTTATGAGAGCAAAAACCAAATAAATAAAGAGACAGCGCAAAAGGCAAATGCAAAACCAGCCTACTTACATGTGTTTCTTATGTAAGAAGCTGATTTTAAATTTGCCTTTTGCGCTGTCTCTATATACATATTTGGTTTTTGCTCTCATAAAATTTGTAATAGTATTATTTGCAGCATGTTCTGTTTGTTATTGTTTTCTTTTAATGCCGTCATTTGTAAATCGAAGAAAAGAAAATTAAATGTTTTTTTCATTTTTCGTGATCTTTTATCATCTACATGATCGTAGATATATGATCCGCCTCGCTCATGAAACAATCCATTTTGTTGGCGAAAAAACAAAATTCCGATTGTTGCGAGCAAAAGAACTATAGACAAACTTGAGAGCAAAAACACGACATATCGCTTATTTACTTTTGCTCGGATGTTGGGTATGTCGTGGTTTTGCTCTCAACTTTGTGTGTCGAATTTTTGCGTTCGATTATGGTATGTAGTATTGTTTTACTCCAAACAAAAATACGTGCTATTTTTACGCATAAGAAAATTAAGTGTTGGGTTTACTATCAGGCTGTCATATATATTTTATATGAAAATCAAATGGACAAATACAATTTTATCTAGTTTTCCTTGCATATTTTTTCTGAAATAAGTGCTCATATAGCTGAAGTTCTATAAGTTTAGGTATTTCAAAGTGTCAGTAACAGATGGCATAACGCGACTACTTTTGCGACTTTGTTCGAACAAGCTTGAGTTATGGTTTCATTGTAAACGATATTGTACAAATTTTGAGATAAATTCAGTCTGTGATCAGACGGTGAATAAATAAATGAAGAAAATAAAACGCAGTCGATGCTAAAATTCACTTCCACAAACGGACTGTGTGGCACAGCAATTGATGATGCTGTTCAAATTCACAGACTGAAATATGAAAAGATGAAAATTCGAAAAAAAATACAACGCTGTCAAATATCATATATCTATAGAGCAACGAATCTTGAATGCTTCTGAAAAATCAAATGTATGATGTTGGTTGAAAAATGCAATCGAGAGATCATTTGAAACTGGACATGAAATAATCAAAAATTGGACATGAAATCATAAAGAAAAAAATCATTCAGTGAAAAAAATAGAGCGATTGCAAATGCGACAATAGAAATAAGGACACAAACGAGAAATTATTAACAACGTCTTTTTCAGACGTCTTTTTCATTGTATATTTAGTCTTTTGTTGTTACATAATAAAACCATATTTTACTCATTACATCTCTGTACGATAATGATCTATTAATATGTTTGAGTTACTAATGTGTTGTTGCTAACGTAAAATAAATAGTCTAACATAATAATTCAAAAATAAAGCATTTTTTCGATTTTATTCAATGCATATCATTTCTTCATCATTTGTTGATTTTGTAAGACCAGCTGATCACTTTTGTTTTGAATGGATGAATTACACACTGATACAGAACTATATAAATAGAACAATACAATATATTCATATATTGTATTTATCAATTACTTAATTGTTTTACTTTATTTTTTATTATATAACAATTTATATTACCATTAGGGTGGTTTCTGGCAAGTGATAACGAATATTCCAATCGATGCGATAACTTTTCTTAGTAATTCAAGAAATCTTTTTAGTAATTATTTTTCCCGTTTTTCATTTTTTTTTTTTTGGATTTTTGTTACGTTTTAATGGACTTAAATTTTCTTAAACAATTTTTATCTTTTTATAAAAGATAAAAATTAGCACAGAATTTTGTTATTGGTAATAGTCAATGTTTCACCGTAAAAATAATTCACACCATTTTTTCACATAAAGTTCTTATCAATTATTATTATTATTAAATTTTTATAGAGAATCCTTTCCTTTGATTTGCTTAATGTTCAATTTAAGTTAACTTAAAAAAGAAAATATATAGATATTTTCCGAAAATGTACATGTCGGTGTCCTAAGCGAATTTTGAAAGTCAGCGTGTGATGTTTGTTATTTTGAAATTAACTTATTGATGTTAAATTCGGCCTTTCTTGTCAAATTCCTCAAAAAAAATGTGCATCTCATATTATTTAGTTGTAAAACTTTAATTTCTTTTGTGAAAAACTAAATTTCCTCCATTATTACAAAGATACGTTGTCATTACCATACAGTATACGCCATATTATAGAAATATATCAATTTTAAATACAATCAGTTTGCATGCACCATTATTGTTTTTTGTTGTTTTTACGTAAGACGTTTTCTTCCTAATCTATTCAACCGTTTGAATCTTTAGCTGGATTATCTCAGCTTTCGAATCACATACTCGTTCAACGTTCATATTATTTTTCTTCGCCTTTGTCTTAAATGTATACAATAAGATTTATAAACAATGTTTGGAAAATGTTATTCTTGTTTTACATTTTTAGAAGATTTTTATTTCCCAAACTGATTTTCCCGTGTTAATTTAAATTTTATCAACATGATAATTTTATCATCACTAACTGAATATCATTGGGCGTGATTGATGGAGAGGAGCACTTTTTTGTTTTTATTATGCGTATGTATGCACATTTTTGAAATCGATTTATTTATGTAAAACGTACAGAACAGTAATTTTCAGCAATACTTTGGAATTCCAAATGTAACTTATACACAACAACTATAGATATCAGTGAAGTTATTTGGGGTGCTTTACAATCTTTGTAATAAATCTCGAATCTCATTGCGATGCTCTTCGAATACAGTCGTTGTGATATATCCAGCAAACAAACTTGTAATGTCTTTAGTAATGTCTTTAGTTAGAATTTCTAACGTTGAAACATGTATCGCAGTGCGATAATCGCACCAACCGATTTTGTTTACAATAAAACTTTGTTTTGTTTTCAATAAGATTTCTTGAGAAGTGGTTATGGCGATCAATTGATTTTATTTCCATTTCAATTTCAACAACGGTTTTGTGTGTTCAGAATACTGTTGATTTTGCATTCATTTTTGTTTTATTTTTTCGAAATAATAGAGTGTTGATAAAATTTACTGTGAATATTCCAACAACATTTCGATCGGCAAAATATTTGATGTCACATTGGAAATAAATTTCATCATTCGATTTGGAACACAGAGTCACTTTGTTGAGGTAAGACGTGATATTTATGATTCGTTCTTCATTACTGTTTCATTTGATTTGTGATAGAAGTGTTTTTATCTTATTGTGTTTGTGATCTATGCTATATTTGGTGCATTTTTTTCTAAATTTGTGTCTATTTTTTATTTTCTTTTATTTGTATCAGTTCTTCAAGAATGAAAAGAAAAAGAGATAACGAGAAAATAATTTAGTTGCAATAAAATATGGCTTGCAAACAATACTTCGACCCAAGCATGCAGCATTTGTGACGCAAATATTGTTTGAGCGCAGTCTTCAAATGACGGAAGTTGCCACATTGGCCTCTCTTTTGATTTTATTCAAGGTGAATGAAGCACTCGATAATGAAGATCGTCAGTTCTTTTTGCGATGGGAGCGTCAATAGTTCTTCTTCGAATGCTTCAATGCGGTATTGGCCAAAAAAAATTACGAAAAGTTGGGGAATGGTTTCCGTTACTTTGTCAAACAGCACATCACAAATACGAAAACCGGTCTCACCACATTGGTATCGATCCGAATGGAAAAACGTGGTTGGCTATAACGCGTCGAAACATTCGGAAAAAACCTTGAAATGTGTTTGAATCGAAACTAATTGTTTTTATGATTTTGAATTTTGAAGGAAAACATCACAATACCAAACACGCGTACTCAGAAGTAAAGAAGAGATAAAGAGGCGACAAAATTAACTGGATTTTGATCATTACATGAAGTCGAACCAAGTAAATGATAACATCGTCGTGACAGTGACCTACAACATGCCGTCAATTATCTCTGGTGCATCGGAGATGCCACCCAATCGGTCATTTGGTTTGAGGAGACGGAAAAGATGTCCAGGATCGCGGAAATTTTTGGTGAGCGTATTGCCAAGAATGATTTCCAGTGAACACAAAACCGCATCGATTCAAAGTGTGCTACGGTTGCAAAGCGAAACCGATTGCTGGACTACCGGACTCAGTCGCTAGTCTACTAGACATAATTGTGGTAATAGCAACTTTACAAAAATTGGCCATTAAATGTTCAAGATGATGATGCTGCTCTACAGACCGCGATATTGTTGCTGCAAAATGCATTATGCTCAAAGGTATGAATCAATTTAAAATAGGGTCTTTTTATTGTTTAATGTTTTTGCTTCTTATTACACAGGACCAAGGGGCCTATCACGAAAACAAATGCATCATTTTTGAATAAATGTGCGGTGCTTTCAATGAATGCAAATGTATCACAAATGCGGCATTGTTTGCCTTCTAGATAGCTTGTTGGAAATGGCTTAAATAAAATTAAACTAATTAACTTCAAGTATAAAATATTTAGAATTTTAATATTATCAACTTTTTCTTTATTTTGTTGTCCGAAATATTAAAATTATGCTGAAATAAATATAATATTACTAACCTAATCTAACTTTCGTCTTGCAAATGTTGAACGTAACAACTTTAAACTGTCTAGTGGAGACGGTAATTTTTTTTTAGTCCGAATACAAATGGCAGACTTTGAGTCGGTCTCATTTTTCTCCTGTAATTATATGCTTTGAATATGAGACCGACTGCCATTTGTATTCGGACTCAATTTTTTCATTTGGAAGTAACACCGAAATTCTCTCAAAATTTATTTACCTTTAAGAACAAAAATTACAAGCTAACATAAAAATTACACGAGTTTTGTCTTCATAAAAACATTCGAAAAAATAATTCTTTATTCGCTATTTCTCGTTTGTTATTCGTTCAGTTGTTATTGTCGCTTCATATTTTTTATTGTTTTACATCAAACGTCAAAAACAGACCGATGTCAAAAAGCTTTTATTTGCGCGGCGAATTCACTACCGTCTCCACTAGACAGTTTAAAGTTGTTACGTTCAAAATTTGCAAGACGAAAGTTAGGTTAAGTTAATAATATTATATTTATTTCAGCATAATTTTAGTATTTCTGACACTGAAATAAAAAAAAGTTGATAATATTAAAATTCTAAATATTTTATTCTTGAAGTTAATTAGTTCTTTTTTAATTTCGTGATAGATGAGATATTCTCATTAGCTGCATTTACACAGCCAAGTACACAAATGTCGTAAATCAGAGCAAATATTTGCAAATGTGTACAAATAACAAATGTGTACAAACTTTGTCGGATGTTTGGCGTACTAGTGCCTGATTCTTTGAGAAGACCACCAAAAAATGTCAACTGACAAGCAGCAGCATTGGTTAAAACAAATATTATAAAGATTAGTTAGCGTAGCTTGGTTACACACATTTTGTGGCCTTGTTGTGCGTCCATATGAACAGTACAGCGGTTGTACGGAAGGAAAGGGGTCCAAAGGTGAGTAAGGTTTTTAATTAAAAAACGGATTTTCCATTTACAATTCAATTGATACTAATGATTGTCGTTCCTCTTTTCCATGTATGTTACGACTGAATGTTACGCTGACAACTATGAAAATGACTGAAACTACACACAAATCCGGGTTCAAATTCGACCGTGAATTTGTGCCTGATAATGGGTGAATTTGCATTACAAATTGTTCCTTGCAATATTACAATTGATAACCGAGCAAAGATATGAAACAATATGAAATTAAATACATATACGGAGAAATGAAGCGCTGAAACAACACATTAGCAATTATGCATTTGACGAGGATATTTGAATGGTTGAGAATAATAATGAAACTTAATTTTTGTTCAAACTGAAGTGTCCCTTCGGAATATTTCCAATAAAAGTGTCCCAAGTTTGTATATAGTTTGCCATATAAACTTGGGACACTTTAATTGGAAATATTTCGAAGAGACACTTCAGTTTGAACGAAAATTAAGTTTCATTATTATTCTCAAGCATTCATTTCAATATTTCATATTTCTATATAAATTATTTTTCGATATACTCAATTCAAATTGTTAATGGTCATTTAAAATACCAATAGCAATTTTTTATATATTTCTTATTCTTTAAAAGGCGATATTTATAATATACTTAAATATATACTTATTTTTCCGACTACTTGATCGTTTTTGTACGGTCTTCTTTCGAAACATAATTATTTTCTCCTCTAATAAATACATTTATCATATTTTATATTATGCAAAGGATCAGCCAACTAAATGTTCTTTGGTCTGAGTTATGAATTCGCTACATGTATTAAAACACAAAATCTATCACATTTGCCATAAAGATGATATTATATTGTTTTACCTTATACCAAATTATTTTCCATGATTTTCACGTAATTTGGTTATTCTTCCATCTTAACGCTATACTATAAGCAATGTAAAAACTAAATTGATTTGAAATCTTTCAGAATATAACATTTGAAATATAACGTTAGTGCCCAAGATATACACTTTTTACGTTTATTTCTTTTTTAATGTATTCGCACAACATGCATATGCATGATTTAGTGCGTCACAATCGGTTGCATATTCTTGATATATATTTACTTATATATACTTGTTACGTATATATATATAATATACTTTACCTTATTACTTTTCAGCTATATATAGTATCGACTTCCGAACACCTACGAATGGTGTTAGACTAAGATGACCAATCAAAATAATCACGTTTAATGGTCAAAAGGTGAAAATTTTCGCAATAAACCATGGTAAACAATGATGGACAAAACAAAGGAAACATACTCCCCAATTTTGGGCCGAGGAACATAAATTTGACCAGAAAATTAACAAATTTTGACATATCCCAAAAATGTATGCACTGAAGGATAGAGTTATGTTGTTCAAAATCTAAAGGTAACTTCTACTCAACTTTTTTGTGGGCGGCAGAGAATTTGACTCAAAATCATTAACAAATCGAAAGATTTTTCCCTCTACAAAAAACCTAGAATTTTTTTGGCGTACACTACCCAGGGGGGGGGGGGTTGTAAAGTACCCGATTGGGCTCAAATTTCACATAATTTTAGTGGTTAATTAGTGAAAATTTGTGACGCAATTTTTAGAATTACAGGCCTAATTTTGGAAAAAAAGTTACAGGCCTAAATTTGAAAAAGCCTATTCATCAAAAAGTCTATAAATAAAATTTTGAAAAATTCGAAATAAAACAAAATTTCAAAAAACTAATGATGCAGTATTTTAGTGATTATCGAAATTTCGAAAAGGCTTTCCATAAAAACAACCGTAATTATAAAAATTCTTCTACACAGATTTAATGACCAATTTGTGATTCCCGAAAATGTCACAATTTAATTTTGTGACACACTCCTTGGGACAGAAATCTTAATTTTTCGATTTTCATACTAAAAGTCGAAAATCAATGAAATTTTTCAAATCGAAGACGTAGATCCAAATAAATTGTGTCATATTTTAGTGACCAATTTGTGACTCTCAAAAATGTCATCATTTGAATATGTGACACACTCCTTTGGACAAAAATCTCAATTTTTCGATTTTCTCATCAAAAGTCGAACTTCAATGAAATTTAATATCCAATCATTGTATTGCCGGAATGAATCATTTTAATGAGAATTTATGCAACATAAATCGTTCGCATAAAAATCACATCAACGTTTTTAAGATCACATCCAGAGCTATATATTTCGAATAGCGATAAAGGCAATGTCACAATCATTGCTATGAGATCCGAATATGATGAGAAGATAGACGCTATGTTATCAGATACTAATAAAGAGGAATTGTCAAAACTCCCCAACATTCATGTGTGCGTGAACATAATATGTTTTTATACGAATGAATAAAGGTTGACATATAACCAACTTCATGCTAGTGCTAAGAATTATAATTAGTGAATTGATAGAAATTGTGAAAATTAAATAATAAGTGAATGTTTTTTAAAATATTGTTAGTACAAAACATGTTTAAAAATTTATTTTATTCTAAACAGATTAAGAAATTCCAAAATAATTAGTTCATTTTTCGAAATATCATAGAATTTTCAAACATTATTTTCATTCCGAATCTACTAGTAGCATGAAGTTGGTTATGAATGGTTCGCTCGAACAGCAGTTTTTTGACATTTTGTTTTGTTTGTGTGTGAGTAAAAGAGTGTAAGAAACTGCGTTAGGGACTTTATAAAGGCAATGCTCGAAAAGAAGAATAATCGTATGATAAACACATTGCACAATAAGACACACCAATACATATCACAGGCAGGTGCAACGCGATTGAGAATGTATACATCTATTCCTCCACGTATTTCTGGACAAATGAAAATACACAAACCGAATAGAAACATATCAGTGGTATCAACAATAAATTCGGCTTGCTATAAACTAGCGAAATTTTTATCAGGTATTCTACGTCGATCATTTAAACCAAAATATACTATTAAAAACTCAGATCAATTAATCAAAGAAATAATACGAAAAAAGCTACCAACGGGATATAAATTGATTTCATTCAGCAATCACAGATTGCTTTACTAATATTTCTACTGAATTGGCTTTGAGAATTATTGAACGTGATTTTGATCATCATATATCGGATAAGACTAAAATTCCAAAGAAGGAATTTCTGAATTTGCTTCGTTTTTGTCTTATTGATTGTAATTATTTTAATTACAAAGAAAAAAGGATTAAAGGTTCATTAGGATGAAATCGGGTTTATTTATGGGTTCGAGCTTAGCACCAATTTGAGTTGAACGTGTATTCGAAGATGTAATTAACACCGCATTAGCAGATATTGATTTTGTGATTCCATTTTGGTATGCATATGTCGATGATCATTTCACTGCGATTCCTGAGGATAAAATTCCAGCTTTATTGAATGCTCTACACTCATATGAATGGCTGAGAAAAATCATGACTCAAATACTATGCACACAGAAGATAGAAACTTAAATAATGCTTTGCGTACAACGAATCGAAAAATTTGAACACGCAAGAGTGAAACAATTCAAACATCCACATGTACTTTTTTCAAGATTCTGTCTTCAATATTTTTTGAACAAGTTTCATTGTTGTGTGCTTCTTGATCGCATTATATTTTTTTTTGCTGTTGTATGCAATATACTCAGTCTCCGAGAGTTTCATATAAACTCTCCTTGTAATAGCCAAATAACGCCTATCGATTGGTATTCGCTTACTGTTCAATAGGTATCACATGGCAAGTTTAT